CTCCTTCAATAAAGAGAAAAAAGAGAGGAGGAAGATGAGGTATTTCTCCTCCTCAGCATTCATAGTCACTGCTATGTACCTTGGTATCACATGCAGGTGAGAATTCATTTCTCTCAAATATTCTTCTTTTTACTTATATTACAGAATTTCCTGTGAAGAGGACGTTGGGAAAATTTAAGGAAGGTAATTATGCTTACTCCCCTATTCAATGATAAGGGGATTAACCTTTTTTGGTAGATCCTTTAGGTATAGTTTTGACTGTCTCCTAATAAAAACAACTGAAGTTAAATTTTACTCCTGATCTTCATATTTTATGGACAGTTCTAGTTACCAAAGATGATAGCCGCAATTTCTTCCCTCAAAAGTAAGCACAGTATGGTTGTTTCATTGTCTGTCTTCAGGAATGAGGGAAGAGGTTTCTTCGGGGATGCAAGTCTTATGTGATTAACCATGATACACAACTATTTATAAAGTGTTTGGAAACACTTTACTGTATTCACAGTTGGAATGAGTTTTCCTGTTCTTGCTGAAGCAGACCTGCTTTAGCATTGCCTCTGCAAGGCTGCAGTTCCTCCCTGTTGAAACTCCTGACAGGACAACAGGCTGTTCACACTAATTTAAATACCACATGCTCAGGTTTCCTAAGTATCTGGTGGAAAGTGGTCAGCTCCTAATTTAAGCCCTGAGAATGGTCTCTGTGAAACACTGTGATCTTTTGAGGGAACTTTTGTAGCTGTTACGGATTGTTAAATTTGGTACTTAATCTCGTGATGGTTTATCCCACCTTGCCTACTGCTACGTTTGGGATTCATTTACACTGGGTCCTCTGCCATCTCAGTGTCATTGCTCATGTCTCAATATTCTATAAAGTTTCATCTGTAAAAGTTGCCTGTGTGTCACGTCTGGTATCATTGTGTAATGCGATAGCAGAATACACTTTTTTTTTCTGCAAGGCCGCTCAGTCAAGAATCATTTTTCAAAGTTTATACCACCAAGAATTTGAGAATGCTTACGGATGCATGTCATTATTCTTGCGTGTTTCTCTTTTGAAATTACAATTTAGAGAAAAAAATAAATACAATGAAAAAAGCAACATTTGGGGATGATATTTTAGTTATGTGTTTTTCTTTACTGTCAGAAGCCATGATAACCTATCTTGATATTTAATAAAATGATGTTTTATTAATTTACTAACTTTTTATTGCTTGGTAGTGTAATTACAGATTGCAGATGAGGAACTGGAACTGAAAAATGATTCTTAGAATAGCTGCTCTGCCTCCCAGTTTCCTGTATCTATTTATAGCAGTGGTCTGTCGCAGGCAAAATGCATTGTTAGATTTTTTTTTTTGTTCCTTTTTTTCAAAAAACACTATTTCCTTTTTCCTTCTATTTTAAAAATTCTTTCTGTATAACTCACACTAGTATTAAGTAAAATAAATACATAAATAGAATTAAAAAAAAATAGAGTAAAAACTAGTTTTCCCCTTCCTAGAGCTTGAGCATAGGAGGGCATGTAAAGATGTCATCAGTCCTCATTTTCCGGGATATAATTTACTGGATCCTGCCTGTTTGAAAAGAGAAGAAAAAGCAACAAAAGTGTCCCTATAATGTTCCAACACAATTTTGCAATATTATAGCTAGAACAAAAGCAGTTCAACAAAGCAGCTGTCTTTAGTCCAAGGTTGCAGGTTTATTTTATAAACTTCTTTCAGTTCAATAGTTATCTTAAAATGTGTGGGGGTTTTTTTGCTTTTTTTTCCCTCCCCCCAACCTTGTTCATCCTTTACTGTTGCTTGTAGAAAAGCCAAAGTTCTGCTTTCATGAGAAAGACCCTGGAATTTGCCGAGGCTATTTCTCCAGGTATTTCTATAACAAAGAGACAAAGATATGTGAAGTATTCAAGTATGGTGGGTGCCTAGGAAACCAGAACAACTTTAAGAACTTGGAAGAATGCCAGGCTACCTGCCAAAGCAGCTGTAAGTTGTTGTTGTTGTTGTTGTTATTCTTAGCTTTATTATTGTCTAAAAAAATGCTGTGTTTTTAAGGTTTTTTCAGAGGTTAAAAAAGAGGTAACTCAGTGGACCTAGAACGTGCACTAATTTATACTCGAAGCTAACATGTTCATATATTAATAAAAATATATAAGGAAGAAAAAACATTAAGTAAAAAGGAAAATTTTTATAAATCCAAAATGCACTATTAATTAACCAGAGAACTACTTTTTTTTTTTTTTTTACCTTTTTCACATCAAAAAATTAACTGCATATATTTTAATTTTACAAATTCCTGCGAAATAATTATGTAACCTATGTATGAAAGCACATAGTATTAATTTTTGTAAATTTTCATATCACTGCATATATTTAACTTGAAATAAGAAGCTATATATGTGATACATAACTTGAAAAGTAATGTTAGAGTACAGACAGATGGAGAAATTGGAGTGACATCATTTTCAGCCAGAGAAGGGATATGTTCCACCATGAGTTTCCTCATTCCTTAAAGCATCATACATTTCTCCATTAAATGTGTGTTGAGATGATAAATATTATAAACTCAACTCCCTAACATAAAAGTTCCATGAAATTTTTTAAATGCATTCTGAAAACATGGGTACCAACACTGAAGAAGGCAGGGTCTTTACAGTAGTGCAGAGAGTATAATAAAAGGGAATCAAGAAACAGACCTATTGTGGTCCTCTGTCAGCCATACAAGGCTTCATAATTTACCTAAGATATGCCAGTTACTTGGCTTTATAATGTTTAAAAATGTAAATATATATATGTGTATATATATAATATTTACTTATACATTTGATTATATTCTTTTTAAACTAGTTCTCACAGTTAAAAGACATTCCAAAATAGGAATTTCTGTTTTCACTGTTTTTCTCTTTTGCTGTTTCCTTACTTCCTGCTGGCTTCCCACCAAAGAATCACAACCTGAGGAATGAGGAATGTTCACTTCCTTCTCCTCTGGATGATAGAGCCAGGCCTCTGAGGCTGTGCAACAGGCATTTAGACTGACCCCAGATCATCCTTCTGCTTCCTCCTGCTATGAATTCTTATGAGTTGTTCTATTTCAGAATACAGTAACCTTTGTAACACCTCTGTGTTTCTCCGAGTACTTCATTTTTTTCATAGGACGTTCTCCCATCCCAAGGCTCCAGACACTTTTGTCTTGCTATTCTCTCATGGGCCTTTTTCCAGGACTGTTTCGTAATATCCTCTTGGCAAGCTCATTCAAACTTAGAATAAGACAGATCCACTATGGTTCCTTTTTGAGAACTTTAAAAAGTTAGGCCTACAGAGCCTACCTTCCCTGAAGCATTTTTCATGGGCTCCGATTCCGCTTTCATCTCTTGGATCAAAAATTCCAGGATGCTTTTCTTTTCCTAACTTTAATCTGGAATGACATCTCCTTGTAACTTTGTATTAACAAGAAAAGGGAGATGATTTGGGATCATTGCTGTTATTAAAGTAGATCAAAGTACTTTATTTAGAATGGTAGAGATACTAAAATGTTGATATAGATTTTTTTTTAAATCATTGTTTTCTTTTACTTTTGGCGAATTTATTGCCAGTTGCTCCAACTGAAGATCACCCAAACACCGTGAACAGTAGTTCCCCAGAAGAGCCTAACCAGTTTCCTGGATTTTTTGGTAAGAATTTACTTTTTTCAAAGTTAACTGTTACTGTCTTTTTTAAATGCAGGGACTCCTCATCTTGCTCACTCACTTTCCAGTGTGCTAGGGGACTTATATCTTAAATCAGTTTTGTAGCCGTTTGGTTGTTAGTAATAGTACATATCTTGAAAGAGAGTTACAATTACGAAGGCTAGACTGTTTCCTAGTAATACAGTAATAACCATAAGGTGGTTATTGTTTTGAATTTAAGTCTTATATTAATAAAATTAAGGGAGAAAAAAGAATCCAGCCTAATGTTGCATCAGAACATGGGTTTCATATACTTTGGAGGTCAGATGTTAAGTTTCTTTCTAGTAGTAGTAGTAACACCATGGAGCAGGGCAAATGGGTGCCTGTCACAGGTTACTTTTAGAACTTTGCAGTGTTTAGATGATCCATCACTTATTGTCCACTCTCCTCATTTTTTTTTTTTATTTTAGAAAATTTACTACCAACTGTTCCAAATGAAAAGCAGTCCAACATTGTTAACGGTAGCTTCCCAGGGGAGGAACGGGACCGCATTCCCAGTTTTTTTGGTGAGTTTTTGCTTTTCCAGTTCCAGCTTTTGATCTGCTAAAGGCAGGCACTGCTTTGGTTTTTCATTTCCACACGTGTTTCAATATATCCAACTAAAGAACAGGTTTTTGTCTGTGTCAAAGATCTTCATTAGCAGAAAAAGTGATGGTAAAGTAATATACTGCTTCTTAGCCATCTTCTATGGATATAGCAGACTGAAGCACTGACCAAATCTTGTTCTCTGAAAGTGTGTGCTTCCTAGGAAGATTTAAAGACCAATCTCAAAGACCCAAATAGTGGTGCTCAGTTCTCTCAGTCAAAAGAATACTTTTTTACTGATTGACACCTGATTTAAAACTGCTTTCACCCGTTAAGACCGTATTTGGACTATGAAATATGGCCCATTTTCCATACTAATTTCTTGTTTTCACTAAGGTCACATTAAACCCCATTCTGAAAGTGGTTATGACCAAAGCCAGTGCAAATTACTTTGGGGTCTATTTTTACGGCTGGGTATGCTGCACTGATGTGTGGCACAAGGCAAACAAGACTCAGGACCACAGAGGCTTGGTTTTAACAGTGTAGCTGGGGGCTGTGCACTATAGACCGCTGGTTTTTGTGGATGCTGTAAAGGGTGTTTGAATTTGAGGCCTGTCATTTTTATGATCCACAGTTGTGCAAGAGGAAACAAGAAACAGTTGGAAAAAGACTGAGCATTCCTACCAAGAATTTCTGTTGGTTTTTTGCATTTGCACCTACTGGTATTTTTGGGGATTGAGTGATCACTTGCAGATTCACTAAGGTTTTTGTGTTTTATATGGTCTATAAAACAAGGAGATACAGGATAATATTTCTGTGCTCTTTGCCAAAAAATATACATCTAAAGAAGCTTGAATGTGTGTTGTATTCTCTTGTTGATGCATTGCGATCACAGGCATTTTGGGTTGAGGTAAGTTTCTGTGACAGATTTTTATTTTTTATTTTTTAACATAAATAGCATCAATGCACAGTTATCAAAATGTCTTTATATAGAATGGTAAAGCTTTTGTAAGCTTGTTTTACTGGAAATATTTGCGTGATTGAGGATCTGGTAGTAAGCGTAAGAACATGATAGTATATACATTTCTTGAAGATTTTTCCTCACAATAAAAACCTCCCAATCCCCAACATAACTAACCTCTAGAAGCAAAAAGGTATGTTTCACTCCATTTTCTCAGAGGATCCTGAAAATGAAGGGTTCTTGGCTGTATCAGGACTACTGAATTTTCTGTAGGATCTGTTTTTTTGAGAGAGAGGTGAAGGTAGTAGGTTGGTAGGAGAAAGACTGAGGGATTAATGGTGCCTGGAGTCAGCATCGTTGACTCAGGAAAGAAACATGGCCTTGGAAGGACTGGTGAGTTTCAAAGGAAAGTCTGAAGATTCCTCCCTTTCCTCCCCACAGAAGTGAAGGACTATACGATTGTTGTCCGCCCTGAAGCCACTTACTGCCCTTGTGGTACCAGCCTGAACCTTTCAGGCTGTGTGAAGTCAGGATGGGCTGTCTGAGAGGGAATGGCTGGTTCTCATCCTCTTAAGCACAATTGAAATACCTGGTCTGCTACCATAAGATTTATTTTTACATGTCGATCAGTCTGTGTGTGTGTGTGTGGTTTTTTTTGTTTGTTTTTAATAAATTTAAGTGTGTGTGTGTGTGTGTGATTTTTTTTTGTTTGTTTTTAATAAAATTAAAAATTGCAAGCAGTTGTGCATTATAGGATGCCTTACCTTGCAATTGAAATGCTATTTCGTCTTGATTTCAAGAAAATATGCAGATTATTGATGGTGTGTATAACTGTGAGAATATCAGATTAATAGATTTCTAATGAAGTTCTTGATCTTCAGAAAATTCCTTCATGGCCGAATGAAAACTAATTTCTTCATTCAATACATAACATGGATCTCCTAGTAGTGTCACTCAGCAATGCACATCCTGCAGAGAATGAAGACTCTTCTGGCCTCATTATTCTGCAAGATCTGAGCATTTATTCTGGGGAAGTTGGAGAAAGTGAACCCAGATACCAAACCTTCTGATTTTAGATTGAAGTAATGTGTGGTGTGACATTACCAGTGCCATACTCCACATCTGACTTGTGAAGCATAAAGAGAATGCAGGCTCAAAAGTCAGTTTTCAGCTGTGACTGTGGACTGGCACGTAGACTCTGTTCCTGTTAATATTCCTCAAAGTCAGGGCCTGATCTTTTGCTGATATAAATTAACACAACTGCATTTGGGATAATGTGTCTGTACCACTTTGTACCGGTAGAGAACTGTTAAGTGACTATTTTGTAACAGCTTGTCTACTTGAAGATTTTTTCTTTTATTTCACTCTTTGCTGCAACCAGAAATGACAAATTTAAATATGCCTACATCAAAAATCGTGCGGTAAATCTGAAACCTTTATGGGTGTTACATTCTCATGTCTAAAAATGAGAAGCATTAATTCTTATCTAGCTTATGAAAACCATTTTGAGCTGCTTTTGTACTATCATCGATTAACTGTTCATTACCACATGTTTCAAACCTGGCTAGGCCTGAGGGAGAATGTTTATTGTTGCAATGCAGGGTTGGGATTGCTTTAGGTAGGTATAAGTCTATAAAATAAATCTGAATATGCATGTGTCTGAAGTGTGATTGTGTCATCTGTTTACATTGCAGAGAGCATTCAGAAAGAGGCTATAAGAATTAATATTAAACCACACACATTTAAAGGTTGCTTAGGTAACAATGAAGGGTAAGATTAACAAGGGGCTTCTCGTGTCTGCCCCTTATTTCTTATAATTAGTTGATCTCATTTTTCACAAAAAAAAAATCAAATTTTGCAGTTTGGGAATGTGTTTTGTCAGTAAAACCAAACCAGTGCAAACAACTGCAATGTCCTTAAAGAAGAAGAAGAAAAAAAAAAAAAAAAAAAAAAAGGAAAGATTTGCACTATCTTTGGTTATTGTAAAACTTGGAGGGCATCTGAGAAGTTCCTGCAGGGCTAGTGGTGGGAATTCCAGTTCTCAAGCTCCTTTTGAGGTGAGCTTCAAGGCCTAATCTCAAAAGTTTTGATAAAATTGGCATGTGTGAGAGGAACACTTTGTATTTCTTTGTATCAACATTTTCTGAAAGAAAGATTTTCTCTTGAAAAATCTTTAACCAATTCAACTTGGAAGCTTTCATTTCCATTATAAGATTTGCTTGTCCCTTGTCTTTTTGTATTTTTTAATATTTACATATATATATATTGTATTTTTTTTGTATTTTTTTTTCTCTGCTTGTTCATGAGCTATGTCACATATTTTTTTTTGCCTGATAATCTAGTTTTATGATATTGCTATTGAATACTTAAGGATGGTTTAAAATCACGTACTTGAATAAACAGAATAGCATCAACATAGCATATAAAGGGGGCTGAACCTAGCATATTGAGGCCTGTTGCTGTCAATGGAAATATGTGCTTGATATCTTTAGGAATTGCTTCAAAGTGGAAGACAGAGCATGAACAATTGCATAAAATAAATTGGAAAGCATTTCTTTACATTTATTAATTTATGGGTTCATTTACATTGATGTTAATATGTAATGATATATGTAATGAGATATTACATAACAAGTTAACAAGATAACAAGTTTTTTTTTTATGGGCTGTCTGCATCTGAATGTAAAGAATATGCAGATATTTTGAATATGACAAAGATCAACAGAAATAGTTCTTTAGTGTTGGAGGCACTTCCCTTATTGATATGCTAGACAAAGAACAACACAATTTTTAGAAAGATATGCATATGCATTACCTAAGTAATCCTTATTCGTCAGTAATCACATCACTACTTGCTTAAGGCATACTATCAATAGGAGAACTTCATGAGGGGACTCTGGTGTCTCTCTGGAAAGCCTACATAACAGATAAGTAATTTATATTAAAAAATATATATTTACAGTCTACTGAATATTGAACAAACTGATGCAGCTTGCCCCTCTCTTCACTAGCAAGCCTTTTTATTTTGTTCTCTTTAGGTTCACAAATTCTCAGGTTAAAATAGGTAAGTATATTTTTCTTTAATGTTGCTCAACACATGCTTTGAAGCCTAACATCTTCTCCAGACAGGGTCTAAATAAAGTTAGTTCTAGACACAAGAGTTACCAGTTACAACTGGTAGAGTTTAAAAAAAAAAAAAAAAGTAGATGTAATATGATTATTAAATTGGTCTTAAAAGACCAAATTGTTTGCATTTTTTTGCATTTTTAGGGTTGATTTTGAATAGTGTAATGTTGATGAGAGGGCGCCAAATATAGTAATAATTGTATTTTGCTTTCCACAAGTCACTGTTTCATTTTTTCACAGCACTTTATGCTTTTTCACCATGTCATTTCAGTTGTTATACTTAGCAGACAAGCCTTTTTCAGATGTTACAATATCTGTAAGACAAGTAAAACGTAGTACTATCATTTGGGATATTTTCTTGTCAACCTCTTGGATTGGGCAGGTTAATTCATGACTTATTGCTTGTAGTCACTCGTCTGGTTCCTACCTTGTCTCTTCCAACAAGAGGATGTCTTCAGCTCTGTTTTAAGCTGAATTACTCCTTAAAATTTTCACTTGGTCTTTCTGCAAACCATTTTTTGACAGTTACCTGGCTTTGTAACTTTAAAGAAATCTTCCACCTAGCCTGATATTTTCCTTTTATTATACGTTCAGACCTTGGAAATTGCATCCCCATTGCTTTGTGCCCTTACTCTTCAACTTTTGATAGGCTGCCAGCTCTAAGCTTTCTCATGCAGATTCCTTCAAGTTTTACAATAGCGCGACTTCTAGTACTAAGCTTAGGTCAAGCTTTCCACGTTCACGCAAAGACCTACATTAATAGTACATGAGATATGCTGGTTTCTTTCACCTCCTGTTAGATTTCAAAATGCCTAACAGCAAATAGGAAAAACCACTTCAATAATTTTCATGCATATTTACTATACTTTTAAAGCTTCCTAGATTTTGTTTCTTTTTTCTACATTGTGTTCATTTGAATCTTATCTAAATAAATTTTGATATTATCTCCTACTACAGAACTACCATTTTTATCACTATATGTAGGAAAAAAAAATCCTTTTTCCAGGTAAGATTTCATTGCTATTGGACTTCAAGGCCAGGATATTTGCTTCAGTATTTTTTTTGTAGTTGTAAGATGACAGATGTTTATTTAAAGTAGTGTGCATTTGCATATGAACAGAATTAAATTTGCCTTTAAATTTCACATAAATTTGGAAGTTCTATGAGCTTCAAATCTCATATATAATAGTCATTACAGAAAATTTTGTTCATCTTTGTTCAAGTCCATTGTGTGTGTTTTATATGCAATTTCGCATTTCCAGTGAACTATTTGCAGCACTGAAGTAACTAGTAAAATTTATTTTTTCTTGATATTCCTAGATCCATCCCCTGTCCCTTCTTTATGTATGACCCCTATGGACAGAGGACTTTGTAGAGCCAAAGAGAGAAGATTTTTCTACAACTACGTAACAGGAAAATGTCGGCCATTTCACTACAGTGGTTGTGGTGGGAATGAAAATAATTTCACCTCCAGAAAATCATGCTTGAGCATCTGCAAGAAAGGTATGGCTTCTGGTATTGCCACAGGCTTTGTGTTTACAAGCCAAATATTATGCAGGCTGAAACATTCTTGCAACCTTTGCAAATCACTACTGGTATGCTAAAATGTAGTGGAGTTTTAGAAGAGTGTGAAAGAGGAGAGAGCGAGCTAGAGAGAAAAGGATGGACAGTAAAAGATGTACAAGAACAGAAGTAAGACACCCAGGCATTGGTCAGTCATATGAAGACTTTAGGTAAGACAGAATGTTTTTTTTTTTCTTCAAGTTTTAAGAAAGTTCTTTGAAAATAAGATGTGGTTTTTTTTTTTATTTCAGATAATCTTGTGTATATTTCAGTCGTGTTATATCTAAACTTATTTTCTTCATTTTACCTTTAGGATTCATTAAAAAAAGAAGTGAAAGAAGATTGATAAGAATCAAGAAGAAAAGAAAGAAACAGTCAGTAAAAGTTATGAGAGATGAAATCATCACTGAAAGAATCTAAACTGATTTTTATAGAGATGTGAAGTACCTACTACTCATCTGTGAATGAAAGCCTTAAGTGTATATCATTTATATATATTTACTGTACTGATTATTTTGATTACCTGTTATTAAGTTGCTTATGTTTTTATTGTATATTCCTCATTCATTTTAATAAACATTACCGTTTACTTTGGTTAAAGCTGTTAAAATGTAATTTAACTGTACGTACGAGAGCTGAAGCGGGACAGAATAGACTGTGTGGGTGTATAACTCAATGACTGGAAAGTAGCCAGGATTCAGTATTGCTTTATTGGCCCATTATTCTTTTCTGAAAACGGGTTTTGTGCTAAAAACAGCCTAATGCTTGTCAAAAAAAAAAAAAAAATTCACTTGTCAAGTGCAATTATTTCAATCTTAGATTTAGAGAACCTACTCTTAGAGAAAGTACTCTTAGTAAGAAGAGGAAACAGGCACTGAGTTTGTTTCTGATTGTATTTCTTTTAGGTCATGAAAGCTAGATGCAACTCCACTGAAGTGCATAGAGTTACATTACTGTAAAATGAATGCGAGATCAGAATCAACCCACCAAGAGCATAAAGAGAATGTTCAAGGTATAAGTTGGTACTGCAGTGTGACATTGACATTTTGGGTACAAATGCGATGTTTAAGGATATTTACAATGTTTTTAAAACACAGTTGCTGAGAGTTAGTTAATCCTTGTTACTGAAGTAAACTTATGGTAAGTCAGTCATAATTTCCAGAAATAAGTGTTTAATTCTTATGTAAAGAAGAACAAATTCCATGCATAGATCAAGAAATAAGAACAGCTGCTTTAGAGGTAACATTACACTTACACTACAATTAAAAAGTTTTTTATTTTTATTTATTTATTTTTAAGATTGATGTGAAATATTGGCCAAGTCCCTGTCACTCTCTAAAGCATCTCTCTGATCTATGGCAAATCTTTTATAACAAGATTTTTTAAAAGGAAAGAGAAAATAAAGGTAATTATTTTCCTAATATTCTCAGAATTTCTAGCTGTGAAACAGAAGATAGCAGGACATTTCTCCTATCTTCTTTGTTGCTAAAAAAGTCTTCATTATTATATCAAAATTTTCTTGTTATCCTTAAGAATCAGCTGAGAGAAGTGACACTGCCTTTTGCCAGCAACGTTATGCGTATCTGAAAGCATGCGAGGGGCTTGGATACTATGGCAAGGGCCAGGGCAGCAATGTCAGAATAATTCATGAATGGTTGTATTAATCTACCTTTGTATGTATGCCATGAATTGCATGTGAGTTTCAGAAAACATATGTTTTTACGTGCCTGAGGATCTTTGGAATCTCCACAAAGAGATTAAGCTTTACTGTTGGAAGTGGAAATATTTACGCATTCTAAAGATCTGAGGGGATAAGTGAAAGTAATAGATTTTTATATAGAAATTCTCTTAGTCCCATTTCTGATGCCTAAGTTCTTTTGCAACACTTTTAGTTTAAAATTTATGAAGTCTGATTTGAAAAATGCTCATGAAAGTGAAAGGTACACCAAAGCTCTTTAATGTACAATCTTTTCATATAAAACGTATGAGTACTATGGACTTACAGAGTAATAACTTTATGAATTGGACAACTGCAGTTCTCTCAGGGGAAATCTGTAAACATCATATACTGCTGAAGAAAAGTAGTGTCATTTCAGCACATGGAATTAATTTCGTGGAAATATCATGAACTGCTGTTTTCAGTTCCAGTTTGACACCTTCCGGTTGTGGTTCAGCATTTCCATTGCGTGGAACGTTTTTGTACAGAGCTGTTACGAGGAAGGCAGTAAAAATGCTTAATTTTCCATGCCTAATCATTACCATTTCCTCTGGACCAACAGGGTTTCTTACTGTGAAGATGATACCTTTTTTGATTGCTACGTAGTGTGATGTGCCCAGGAGTGGGGGGAGAGCTATGCAGAGCTGCTTCTCCAGGTGCTCCGTAAGAGCGTCCGTAGGCTCTGCTTTGAGGTTAAAGCAAAAGAGGAAGCCAAAATACAGCTAAGAGCCCCATGCTTTCATATCTCCTCATTATACTATACTAAAGTCACTCTGTACTAAAGAAATATCATGCACATTCATTTTTGTATTAGCAATTACACAATCATTTGTGGAATCTCTTACAATCTCTGCAATTGGTGCAATAGAAAAAACTATGTGGCACTTCTATTTCAACTGACTTACTTAAAATATTATGAAGGGATTCACTTTTTAGGCTTATTAGTGCAACATAGAGTGAAGACTGGAATCAGCTGTTGACTTTTTATACATTTCTCATTTTCTTTTAAGTATGTAAGAGTATAAGGCTGTTTGTGTCTGCAGTAGGATTTGTGGTTAGTTTAGGGGTTGTTTTTTCCCTCTGTATTTGTACTAAGTTTAAGAGATTAAGTAAGTAGTGTGGTTTTCTGTCATCTGTGTACTTGATGCTACATGGCAAGCTGGAGTTTTAAAGCATTCTGTTAATATGGATGATGCTTCCTTGAAAATCTTTGCAATTAAATGCCTTACTTATTTGGCTGACCAGTGACATGATTAGTTGCCAACAAGAAGGAATTAGTTCATGGGATGTTTATGTTTGAAATCTGTTCTCCTTCTGTTCAAAGGAGAGCATCAGTTCCATTGGAAAAAAACTTTAATCCTATATTAATAGTGTTTGTTATGTCTGTTCCAAACAAAGGATTTTCACAGATCTGGCAAGCTACATGGATCATGGATCAGGCAAGCTACCTTTAGGTCAGGCAGTTAAATGAGAATGGGTTTAGAAAAAGGCCTGGGAATATGGGCTGGCCTTTTCTTTTTGCATTTTCTTTGTCTGATTGCATAGAGGGGGTGCTTATTTTTGTCAGTTGAAGCTAGCATCACTTCCTCTGTAATTGAGAAGTTGTTACATGTAACCATCCCATACAAAGTGAAGTTAAAAGGGAGGGGGGAAAAAAGGTCTACAGAATATCAACTTAGGATTTTTTTTTTTTTAATTGCAAAACTACCTGCAGCATCATCTGATTGTATCTTGGTCAAATCCAGAAGTTTCTATCATGCCCGTTGTGCTTATTCACCTCGTTTCGCTCCAGTGTCTTCAACATGGTATCAGCAAGAAGCAACCTCAAGAGGAAGTTCCACACATTTCTCAGAGAGTTAAAGGGTGAACATATATGGGGAAATACGTGGAACATATAGAGAGAATAAATGCAGAATAAGAGGCAAAATGACAAAGAGATCACAGAATCAAGCTATGCAAGGATGTTACCATGGCTGTGTGCTTAGAGGTGACTAGAGCCCTTTCATTCAGTCCTTTCCTTCTAGAATAGGCCCTGGTTGCTCTTGAGGAAATACACAAAGTGCTGTGAAATTACTCCCACATTATATGATGGTAACCAACAAGCTGCAGCTTTGAAGTTGCAGAGAATTGACAAGTTTCCATGTATCATCCAACCTGTATAAGCTTGGTATGGATACCTAGTCCAAACAGATGATGAAGCAACTAACGATATATTTTACTCAGCTTGCTTTTTGCCTTATGTTTTTCCTGGTTTGCCTTTCTTTTCCTCCTTTTTACTCTTACTTTCTGTACTGTGATTCTCTTCTTTCCATTTCTTCTTGAATCAGCATCTCTACTTTTTCAAAGCCAAGGCACTGATTTACATTTTGAGAATCTCTTCATCTGTCTAGAGCTTACCTTTTAAACATATATTAATGAGACTGTAAAGTTTATGATTTATTTGTTTTGGTGTTACCTTCTTTTGAGAAAGAATGTGGGCAAAAAGTGGATATTTGTTGGGATATATATTTATAGTAGAATATGTGTTGAGAATTGAAGAAAATGGAGCGTATGTATTTGGCTGGATAATTTTACAGCTTAGTGTTTTATTCATAGGCATGTATTAACAGTGCCAGCTTCAGAGGCAGCCTTAGTTTTGATCCCATAATCTCTTTGGACCTGTAGTGCGTGGAGCTTGGGCTTGGGCATGGAGACGCTTCTCACATGACTCTCCCTTGGCTGTCCTCGCTGGGGACGCTCCTCTTGGCCACACAGCGCCTCAGAGGCGTGAGGAGGAGCGCGGCTGCGCCAGGGGGCAGCCCCGTGCCGCGCTCCCGCTGTCGGCCGGAACAAGGCGGCCCTGGGACAGTGTGGGGGCCCTCCGGCCTCCTTTGAAGTGCAAATTGCGCCAGCTGGGATGTCTCAAATACCAGAAGAGGAGGTGTAAGGAAGTCCCAGTGACAGCTGAATCAGTGCAATAGAAGAAAACTTAATTTACTACTGGAAAAGAAGAAAAAGTCCACCAGCCCAACTGAATTTTGCATGCCAAATCGAACTTGGCCTGTATAATAATCTCTGGGGTTTATTCAGATGATAAGCTTGTCTTGTACATATGTGCTTGGCTGGAAGACACGGATTATTTTCATCCTGTGCACATTGCAATGTGTTACATGCATGTAGTGTTGCTGTCTCTGCACCCTAGATTGGTCTAAAATAATGCAGCCTGGCTCATTTCTGGTGAAAATCTACCACCTGGGGTGACACTGTTTATTCTAGAGAAGTTAGTTTACTCTAACTTGTTCAAAATTGGATCTAATTCCTGTTTTATTCCTGTTTACATTGACAGAAATATAGAGTGCCAGTTCTTAGTTCTTCACTGATTATAAAACTCGGAAACAATTCCCTTGTTGATGTAAGATCCTAGAAGCACCAGCATTAGAATGTGCCAAATCAGTATTAAAGTCATATGCCTGCTCTTTTGGTGACCTTAGAATGTGATTTCACAATTAGGATGGTCTAGTGGCAATATGGATTTGAAGAACTCCTGGCCCTCCTTCCTCTTTTCTGCTTCTTCCTGACCTTGGCATTCGTTTTGTTTTGATACAGGTTTTTCTTCATTTTTAGAGGAAAGATTATCAATGGATAGACCAATTCCCTAATCCTCCTGCTCACAACACGTTCCATGAACATTTCTGCAGGTGAAAGGAGTGGATGAGCAATGGGTAGTGAGGAAGAGCCAAAATGCTTGTTTCAGGCACCAGCTAAGTAGTTGCAATTGCTGGGCACTTCTTTGGAAACCCCAGCCTCAGGTAGGGAGCATCAGTTTTAGAGGTGTTCTAAAATACTTGAGCTTGTTGC